CTGGGAAAAGTCCAGGGGTTGGTTCTCACTGGGCTGGTGTGGATAAAAGGGGTCTTTGGATTTATTTGTAAAGTTAGGAAAGGGCAAGCTGGGAAGAATACAATGGAGAGACCAGAAGATGAGAAATCGGGAACATGGCTGGCAGCTTTAAAAAGGCAAGGAACCTGGGCCGATCCCTCCCAGGTGCAGAACGCCAGAAAGGGCCTGGAGTCTGGGATGTGTCCCAGGAGAGGGAAGGCCAATTCTGGCTGGGGAGGAACAAGTCAAGCCCCCGCCCCTAGTCTGCCCAACCAAGGCACAAATGGTTCCGTTAGGCAGCTCAAAGGGGCTGGATTGTCCTGTGTTTCTCACTGGTTTTAAAACCCTCTCCTTAAAGCCAAAGGATCCTTTTGTTCAGCCTTCTCCTCCGAGGAAGAAAAACTCTCTTCTGGAGGGTGACAGGCTCTGACATCCCTGCCCAGGAAAGCACGCCTCCTCCAGCCTTCACAAGCTGTTTGCAACCTTGTCCCGGCTACCGGTTACCAGAGACAAGCTTTTGTGCTGAGTCAGTTTGGCTGCCTTCCAGCCAAGGACGCAGTGGAGACTGCAATGCAGAGGCCATTAAAGAACTATTTTTAGGCCCCATTTCAATCTTATTCAGCACAGGCGGTGAGATGCAAGGCCTGAAGGTGGCCAGACCAAGGGGATGCTGGCAGGGAGAGTCCCAGGCAAGTAGGTCAGAGAAAAGACAAGGAGAACGCATTCTGTGGAGAGGAAGAAGCAACCAGAGCGCATACCGCTGCCCGAGGTGCAGAAGACAGAAGAGGGGGAGCTGCTCAGAGAAAGGGGGTCCTTCTGCATTATTTGAGGCGTCACCAATACAAATGATGTAACAGTAACTTCCAAAAAGAGACGAGGCAATGTGCACTGGGGAGCTCGTTAAAAATGCACTCCTCAAGCCCATCTTGGGTTAACTGTGTCCTATTCGAGTGGGGCCTGGGAAACTGCATTGCTAGCTGGCTCCTGGGATAGGTGGCTCCTACATGTTGAAGTTCAAGGACCCCTAGGTTGGAGAGTGTCTACCTCTGGATTTCAAAGGGATGATGTCGGATGAGGGGAAGGAGAGGCACAGGTAGTGGAAGTTATTTAAGAGCCATAGGAGGTGCCCTTCTCCTCACCTCACCGGGCTCGGGCTTCCATCTATAAAATGAAGGGCCCTCGCAGGGCTAGGAGTCTCCCAGTTCTTCCTCAAGAAATCCTTGTCACCCTAACCGGTTTGGCTCAGTGGATGGAGCGTCGGCCTGCAGACTCAAGGGTCCCAGGTTCGATTCCGGTCAAGGGCATGTACCTTGGTTGTGGGGACATACCCAGTAGGAAGTGTGCAGGAGGCAGCTGATCGATGTTTCTTTCTCATCAATGTTCCTACCTCTCTATCCCTCTCTGTAAAAAATCAATAAAATATATTAAAGAAAAAAAAAAGAAATCCTTGTCTCTGGGTGCTCAGCTATCAGCTGAGAGGACAGGAGAATAATAGCTTTTATACCAGAGGTCCGTGTTATCCAAGTACATGGATATAATCAGTACAAGTCCACTTAGAGTGAATACACGTACATTGGGACCAAACTTCAAAGTATGTTGTGGGAGAAAAAACACATCTGATTGGGACTATCACATAAATAAAATTTACATTTTTGAAAGCTGCTAAGAGTAAATCTTAAAAGTTCTTAACACATAAACAAAACTTATTCTGGTGATCATTGTGCAATATACAAAAAATCAAGTTGTACACCTTAAACTTATACATTGTTATGTCAATTATATATCAATAAAGCTGAAAGAAACTTATCTTATAGCTAGCAAACTTTAGATTATACTTGCAACTAGGTAATAATTCTTACATATTTTTACATCTTTATATCTGACTTGTTAAAATGAATAAAGAATGAACAGGGTACTGATTTGGAGGAGTGTAACTTTTCAGATGAACCTGCCCAAGAACACTTGATGCCACCTTTCATTTCATTCGACTTTTGCAGGATTACAAAGAGGTAATTTTGCAAACGTTTTAGAAGGTGTTACCTATTTTCCCAGGACTTCTCTTAATCCTTTGAGAGTCAAATCATTATTTTTGGAGGCACTCAGCCTGTCTTCATCATGAAGATTCTCAGATGCCACCTGGCCCCACTCTGCCAGAGCCTCACTGGGTGGTAGCTCTGCATGCGAGTCTCCAAAATCACTCATCGACTTCACCAAATCCTGCACGATTTACAATTATTCTTTGTGATGTATTTGTCTCCTATGTGCACTGCACTGTCAGACGTTCATGACATGCAACGATCGGAGAATGTGGCCATGAGAGACACCGACATGACAGGTCCAGTGGAGAGATGAGGGGAGGGGGAAGAAGAGCTTTGGGTTTTGTGCTACGCTGATTGGGTTTCCCCTTCCACCTCCGAATAGCACGGACTCAGGATAATAAATACCTAGAGTAAGCATGTCAAACTCGCGGCCCGTGGGCCCCATGCCTCGTTTACTTGGCTGATGTTAGCCTTGAGTTTGACATGCTTGACCTAGATAATGAGGGCTGCCCAAAGCAGAAACAAGTAAGGTGGGGTTGGCCACCCTGAGAAAGTCTACCCACAATGCTCTTTCACACCGTGCTGTGGCTCCTACTGGCCCGTACAGACTGCAAAGCCACCCCCTCCTCCCAAAAGAGCCACTAGACAAAGGCCACTTCGTCAGATGACACTTTAATTGGCTAGAAATATAAAACCTGTCTTTGGAGACTATCAGGAGCCACATGTGGAACAGAAGAGGAAGCGGACGCACAGCACAGGGCCCAGGGGAAACCACAGGCCGAGCAGGTCAGCGATGGCTGAAGAATCCTTGAGGATGGTTATATTTAAACGGCTTCATCCTGCTGGGGCCCCTAGAGAAATAGGAGAAGGGGGACGGAAGCAATTATGGTTACCCGCACAATACTGTACAGCTGTTAGGGGAAAAAATAAATGTGTGAGAAAAGCAGACTGCAGAACAATATGTAAGGTGTGATACCATTTTTGTAAAAATGTCTATATGCTTGCAAATGCATGAACACAGGCCTGGAAGGGCCCTCACTGACAATGGGCACTTCTGGGGAGAGGATGTGAGCACCCTCACTTTCTAATATATTTAACAACTGTTGATTATTGTTTCTATGTTTAACAATAAACATGGTTTAGTTCTATAATTTAAAAAAATAAAGGAAAAAACTTAAAAACCTCTTTTGCAAGGAAAGTCCCATGCAGGAGGGAGGTAGGACTCTGAAGTCAGGGGGTGAAAAGAATCTGCAAAGTTAGATGCTGTTGCTGTAATTTTGTAAGTTTTACAGGTGGAGAAACAGTCTCAAGGAGTTAAACTATCTGCCCAGCATTATACGGTCAGAAGGTGGCAGAGCCCAAGACCAGGTCTGACACCAAGCCTTGACCTCATGAAGCTTAGGTGCTTCAGCTATCATCCCGGGCCCCCAAGCAGAGCTTCACACAGGATCCCCTTCCACACAGCTCCCCAGTAACTGATGTCCAGGTGAAGGGCCTCCTCTATTCATCTGCCTATGACTGACATTCAGTAGTAACCACTAGGTAACACCCTGTATCTTGGTCTGAGTAAGGGAAGGTAGGAGGGAGTGTGTGGGCACGCGCGAGCGCGTGTGCAATTGTAGAAACAGAGAAAAAAGGTTTTAATTCCCACACCAGGAAAACCACTTACCTAAGTGTGGGTTTATTCTGCCTGCACTGTGCTTGGCACTTCATATGCTCCATCTGGTTTAATTTCACCCTCCCAACCATACCTGAAGTGAATGCTGTTTTACCAGCAAGGAATCCGAAGCTCAAAGAGACTAAGTATAGACCCTAATCACACAGGTAGAAACAGCAATTTGAACCTAGGTCTTTCTGGCCCCAAAGCTTTGGCTCGTAACCATGAGGTCATATACCTCCCAACACCAGAAGGCACTGTCATTTGGGCAAGACTAAGCATACGTCTGATGGAGAACCTGCAGCCTGAAGGTATCCACCAGCCTCTGTAAACTCTTTGTGCTGAATGTTGGGACTGGCTATGCTAAATAAACTGTTGCATTAAAAAAAAAAAAAAAAAAAAAAAAAAGCCGAGTCCGGTTTGGCTCAGCGGATAGAGCGTCGGCCTGCGGACTGAAGGGGCCCGGGTTCGATTCCGGTCAAGGGCATGTACCTGGGTTGCGGGCACATCCCCGGTGGGAGATGTGCAGGAGGCAGCTGATCAATGTATCTCTCTCATCGATGTTTCTAACTCCCTATCTCTCTCCTTTCCTCTCTGTAAAAAATCAATAAAATATATTTAAAAAAAAATAAAATAAAATAAAAAAATAATTAAAAAAAAGAAAAGTTCAGCTTCCTGGCTTGATCCCAAGGGTCAGGACTTTAGGTCAAGAACCTCACCCCTCACCAGTGATGGAGTTAATTAGATCTGAGTGGCCAAAGCTGCACCTTCCAATGCCCTCACAGAGCTCAGCGTGGGTGACATACAAAGCACTTCAGAAAAGGGGTCCCTGGGGAACCATTAGATAACAGAAAAGAAACACTGGCCATGTGAGAGATCCCACCTTAGGAATGCGTTACAGCAGGCTGGGAGGGTGGGAAGAGCTGAGGTCTCACACAGACCCACGAGGGAGAGCAAGGCCTAGAAGGCACCAACATCCAGCACCAGCACCACCTCCCAGCAGCCACTGGGGGTTAGAGCTGGTTATTATCAGATAGCACCACAAATCACCCAGGCGGAGGTGCTGGACACAGCAAGGAGGATGCTGGGGACACGTTCCCCAGGCTGGGACTGGCTGCCTGAGGTGAGAGGCAGATAAGGCACCTCTTAGACTGATAGGGAACAGGGGGATGTCCTGATTAGAAACAGATTCTAGCCCTTCCCCTTCCCAGACACCATTCCTCTCCAAGCCCTTGCCCCAAACAGAAGTGATGCCTGAGCAATATGAACTCGGGAGTTCTGGAATGGACTCTAAGAACATGAGTGAGGGGACGAAAGCGAGAGAGGACCCCAAAGCGACAGGAAAAGTACCTAGAAGTCCTAGGAAAGCAGACATGCTAAATACTGAGCTGTCAGGACCTGTTGGCATTTTGTGAGCCCCGGTCTATGCTAGGAACCATGCTGGAAACTTCACGTAAATTAGAGCTAATTTATCATGAGCCTGAAGGTTATATTTCCTTCAGCCTTTAGGAAATAGACTCAGGGCTGAGCTGAAGTGATTCTTCCAAGGTGAGCAGCAGAGCAGAGATCTGTACTTGTGTTTGTCTTCCTTCAAGGCTGGCTCCTGATGGGAAGCTGACTGCCTAAAGCTGTGATTCTCAAAGACGTGTGGACACCTTAGGAAGAGCACCGCAGGCCTGGTGGAGGTGACATAGATAAAAGGCTGATTTGGACAGTACAGAAAGCAAGGAAAGTAAAATTCAGCCAAATCCTCTTGGTTCATGGTTCAGTGCTGCTCACTCAGTGGGGGGTGGGGGTGGGGTGTCCCCCCTCAGAGGGTGCTTGTGAAGAACAGTTGGGCCAGGCTGGTAAGCCCGGCTGCAGGAAGTTTCAGGAAAGAGGCAGCGAGCTCTCCCCAGGAATTTCGGCAGCGGGACTTTAAATTCCTCTGTGAACAGAGATCAGTGCACCTGGGAACAGGTACGTCCTCTATGCCAGGCTCTGATCTCTGCCCCAAATCCCCGTGAGAGGCAGGACTGGAGGTCCCTGGCACTCTGACCCCTCCCCTCACCTGAAAAGCCGCAGACACATCTTCTCCTGGGGAAACTCCTTGGGCCCCTCCACGCTGTCATCGTGGATCTCGGTCTCCAGGTAGACGTCCAGCAGCACGCACAGGCGCTGCAGCTGGTTGGTCAGGAGCTGATGGCCGGGCCGGGGCCCACACAGCTCCTTGTAGCACACGTTGACCTCGCTCTCCATGGCCTACAGAGTGGGAAGTCCGGACACTCAGCACAAGCTTCAGACAGCTGGGTCTGATGGCTCCAGAGAGCGGCAGCTGGGCCTGTGCAGGAGCTAGCGCACACCACATCAAGCTGGACTGGATTATCCTAAGGCTCCCCCTCCTCAAATCATGGCGTCTTCCTGATTCTGCTTTCCCTGCCTTGCACAGCCACAGCCAAGAGGACGGAGGTGTGTAGAGAAGGAATCTCAAGCTGAGGTCCAAGTCAGAAGGAGTTAGGGTTAAAAACATGCTCCACAGCCTTAAGGCCACCACGGAATCAAGTCATCAGGCATAATCATAATTAACAGCGCCCTAACCGGTTTGGCTCAGTGGATAAAGCGTCAGCCTGCGGACTGAAAGGTCCCGGGTTCGATTCCGGTCAAGGGCATGTACCCTGTTTGCGGGCACATCCCCAGTAGGGGGTGTGCAGGAGGCAGCTGATCAATGTTTCTCTCTCATTGATGTTTCTAACACTCTATTCCTCTCCCTAACTCTCTGTAAAAAAATCAGTAAAATATATTTTAAAAAATAATAATTAACAGCTGCAATGATCTCATACTCATCTCATTCCAGCAATCCTATGCTTCTGAGTTAGCTCACATTTGCACAGAAGCCATGACAACCACCTTTCAAGGCAGGTATTTATATTTTCCCTAATTTGTAAGTGGGGTGAAACCTGTGGACCTCAAACTAGGTAACTGGTTGAGATGGGTCTAGGTTCCTTCCATTACAGCATGCAGCCTCCAATATAGTCTCTAAATCCTGGCGGGCTCCTCTGTCCCAGGAATTACGCCCGTGTCCCAGCCCTCAGCTCCCCAGAGAGGCTCCTCCTGCTCCTCTTGTCACCCCAGCAGGGCCTTACCCGGATATTGTCATCATTGCTGTTGGTTTTCTCCCCTTTCCAGTTCAGACAGAGCTGGAAAATGGGTGGGATGGAGGAGTAGCCGGGGTTCAGCACCACAGCTGCCTGGAGTTTGGCTGGGAAGGGAAAGGAGGAAAATCAGTTGTGACCCAGATTGGCAGCCGTGCACCGTCCCCAGCGGACCCCTAAGGCTAGCTCTGAGGTCCCTTATTAATCCGAGTGTTCCAGAGCATATCCTGGTACTGAATGACTTTTATGTTTGTTCTGGAATCTCCGAAGTGGAACTGCCAGGTTGTAGACGTGATGCCTGTGACGCTGGTCCCTCTAAGGAGGCAGAGGGGTGTGGACTCCCCAGAGTCTAGTCCACACTGGGTTTGCCTGAGTTCTATTTGGTCCTTTGACAGAAGTTTGTTTTAATTGACAGTTATTTGCCAGCAAGTTAAGGATTTTCCCAGGTAAAGACTTACTGTTTTTTCAATATTGTGTATTAGCTGTTATACCAAAGTTATCCTCTCTATTCTGTTCCTTTTATTGTTAGATATTTTTGTTATGTAGAAACTTGTTAACAGGCAACATTTATTGAGTACTTATTCTGTTTCCAAGCACTGTGCCATTATGCACACTTTATTTCATCCTAACAATGATTCTGAGATGGGTACCATTATTATCATCCCCACTGTACATATACAGAAACTCAGGCTCCAAGAGAAACCTTCTTAAGATCAAACAGGTGCAATGCAGCAGTGCTGACTTTAACTGCCTGATGTCAGCGCTGTGTTCATAATCATTCACTGAAATATTTGTATTTTTTTAACATATTAATTTTTTCTCTGGGGGAAGTCTTTGCCACTCTCAACAGGATGACATTTATCATCTCCACCAATGGGCTAAGTATGCCATTCTTTTTTCACTATTTATGGGAGGGTTTAAAAAAGAACTCTCTGACACACCAGTAATTCAAATAACAGCGGGCAAGAAAGTGTGGGTTAAGACAATTCTTCCTCATGGGGAAAAAAGGGAGACATATGTACTACTATTTGTAAATTTGTAATGCTTTAAAAATAAATAAATAAAAAGACAAGTCTTCCCCAACAGTCACAAAAACATTTATTATAAAGTGATTCCTTTCTTTACTGTTGTGTTGCCTGTCGCAGTAGTCTGTATATATTTCTGGATTGAACTCTATTCAACAACTTTTTGATCTATATTACGTAAACTTTTCAAACCGATCTGTTGTATGACTTAAAGATTATATATATGTACTTGGGTTTATTGCCCACTTATTCATTTAAATTCCAAACTTAATTTTTCAAATTCTTCAATACAGCTAATGAAAATTTTAATTTTCATTCATTTTATGTATGAATCTAGAGTACTTATGATTCCAAGCTTTCATCTGCTCAACCAGGAAGCAGAAGTAATGTTTTCCAATGACTTTCTACCCTTGGGGCTTCATAAATTTTTGGGCTGCATAGAGATGAGGTAAAAGTATATTTTAAAAGAGGAGAGGATGAAAAGCAAATGCAAAGCGCTGGCTGGGTAGCTCAGTTGGTAGAGCATCGTCCCAATACACCACGGTGAGGGTTCAATTCCTGGTCAGGGCATAAACAGCAGTCCACCAATGAGTGAATAGATAAGTGGAACAACAAATTGATGTTTCTCTCTCCCTCCCTCCTCCCCCCCCCCTCAAAAAAAAAAAAAAAAAAAAAGCAGCAGCAAATGCACAAATTCTAAATAGTAGTCCCCTACCATGAGGAGAGCATAAAGTGGGATTGAGAGCCTCACTGTATCTGAAATACGTAATTTCCTCAGAATATTTTTAAAAACACACGAAGAAAAAGAGAAGGGAAGAAAAAACTACCAACAAGTCCCCGGACCCTGTGGCCTCAGCACCAAGCCCCGGGGGTCCGATCCTGTGGTCCAAGCCAGGCCTGCCGAGGCGGAGGCCGGGCGATAGCATCACAGGAGTATCTGGGTGGCCCAAGCAGGAAGCCCGGCGAATCAGATGCCAGGACACCTGTGAGGAATCGCAGTTTTGATGCCTCCAGTGAGCGCAGAAACTGCAGACAGGGAGGAAGGTCCTGTCACCCGCACCTCACAACCTGAGACACGCCAGTCCTTCTGGGATGAGGGTAAGAACAGGTGTCCGATTCTAGAGAGCAGTAAAGCCAAGAGCTCAGGGTCAGAGGTCAGACTGGGTTTATGACTAAGTCTTAACATCTTCACCTATAAAATGAGAATATTACCATCCCTAGGACAGTCATGAGGATTAAATGAGATAAAGTGCTCACGTAACGGTGGCTGTCACATTCATTACTATTTGCCAAGTCCTGCAGCAGGATTCCAAATCTTTCGCTTTCTTTGGGCAATTTCCAGGAATGTCTTATTCTCAGCCACTCCCCTTGCCTAGAACCACTGTTATGAGCAGAACAAATTACCTGTGCCCCTTTCCACGAGTGCCATGTAGTAGAGATTGGTGTCCCCAGCCAGTCCTGCCTCCACAATGTCCTTGGTGAAATGCAGCTCCTAGAAGTCAACACGGACAAGGAATGAACGGCTGGCTCCTTTAAAACCTCCTGCCCGCCTGGTGGAGACATCGGCCTACAGTCCCCAGGACAGCAATGATGACCCGTCACTCCTCTACCTACCACGTAATCCTCATGGGCAATCGTCACCCACTTCACCAGGCGAGAGACAACCTTTGCAGGGAAGAGGTAGTGGCAATCGCTAGTAACTGGTACAATGCCATGTTCTAAAAGAGAGCAAGACAGGTGGGGTCACAGGTAGAAATCAGGTGCCACAGTCAGGTAACCAGCATCCTCTAGGGGGCTCAGATGACTCTGCCAGACGTCTAGGTGCACCTGGCACTCAGTAGGTGCCCAGGTCAACATGTGCCAGGAATGCAGGCACATCAACCTGACTTCACCCAGGGCTACGTGCTTGTGGCCAGACCCAGTAGCAGCGTTCACGGTGCTTTATCCTTAATGCAAATGACAGTCAGCAAAACAAGAGCCTCCAGCCAAAACCAATGACAGTGCCGCTGCAGCAGTGACGGTTAATTAGATCGAGTCGCCGAGAGGGCTGTTTCCATAGCTGACCTTGATGGAGGAAAAGACTGAAGTGTTCTGTGTCAGCTCCTCGAGGGGAGAAAGGCTGGAGAACTGTTCCAGCGTGAA